ATGTGAGAAGCCGTCCGAAAAATTGCCTCAGCCGAATCAAATTTTTCATTTAAAACGTCCAAATACTTTTACTCCGCGAGTTCTATCAGAAATAGATTGAACACAATAGGCAAGCTTAGATCACTTTCTGGTACAAAGCGCGTAACTCGGCAAAAACTCAGTATACTTGCTTGGGATGTCTCACATATATAGTCCAAACCTTCTTCTGTCGAGGTGTCGTTTGTTGCAGTTTTTTCGGAGCACTCTTCAAACGAGAACTTTCAAAATCACTTGCTTCATTTATTCATCAAGCGATATCAGCAGGTCTACAATGATAGCGTAATGATTTTACGACAAAAATGGGAAAGCGTATTGAGATAAAAACAGTCCACTTTTGGCATATGTAAGAAAAATATATTTAGTGATAGAACTTCATGAGTTTTTACCTTGATCTATAAAAAGAGTAAAAGAAGCATTTAAACATATGTTAGGATTCCCTACAAGTTTTGTGGTGTGATTGCGTTATATTAAATTTGTGCAGTTGTATGTAACAAACAGAAGGACTTGAGACAAACTCACCTTTTACTATGGCCATCCACTCAGAATCATTTTCTAAATCTATGTAGACTTGTCTGTACGTCTGTCCATCTGTCCGTTTCGTGTATTTGCATTCCACCTACAAGACGTAAAACGAATGCTCTTGAAAATCGTTCAGATCGGGGCAAATTTGTTGACTACTTCCTATATAACGCTTCATTTTGAAAAGTTGTTATATGAATATCTACTACGGTATTTCTATTTGCCCATTCCTAGCTTCAATTTCCCTGATCAATATTTGCCAATGCGTCACCCATAGCTTAGGCTAAGACGGGTGACGCACAGACAGACAGGACTAAATAGAGTGATTCAACCGCTTGTGTTCGTGTATCACAAGCAAACACACTTTAAACGACTAGCATTTATTTTAAAATTCCAAAGCTTAATATGTACAATGTATAATATGTAGTAAAATCTAACCTCCCCGACCAATTCAATCTTCTTATTACTAAGTATGTTAGTTATACATGTTTTCGTTTAAGTCAACACATTACTACAGCGCAATAATCAAACCATCCAGTACAATAAACCATAAAGTACAAAATCCCAATTCTAAGTCGCTTCAATCCTTCAGGATATAACAAGAACTTTAATCATGGAATGAAAGCTTTTTAGAATGCACTTGCACTGCTTGCATTTGTTTCACACGAAAGAAATCGCACACAGTTACATACAGTATGGCATATTTCATTTATAATGTGACTCAAAGAGAAATCGCCTTTAATCTCGCCATGTAAAGAATACATTACCAATGTTAATTAGCTTTTACGAAAACGCTCAGCTATACACATACACACATACATTCAAATGCATACACAAAATTTTGTAATTATTTCACCATTGTATAGATTGAAACGAGAGCAAACAGAAACTATATTTATTCCAAAAAAAAAAAACCTTTCACCTAATTAAAAAGGAAAAGAGATTGGAGCCAAAACATACGATGTTGACCTTTTATATGCACATGTATGCTGCAAATGCATGAGATGCTTAAATATGCGAAATAAAAGCCGCGTCTCTCATATATCAGTAACGTGAACGAAACAGTCGAATTTTTTCGGTAGTAAAGTACGGGCCAACGTTTTATTATTATTATTATTATTAATCTAGCCAGAGAATAACTTTTAAGACTAAAGTCTGAAAGCATTAGCATCTAAGGCTATCGGCTCTACCGCATTTGAGATTCCAATACCGCGATCATTGAGCTGCTGGTTGAGACTCTTTGCCTTGTTGGCCATTCAGGCGGATAGGCCAACGTTTTGATTGTAATATACATTTGAAAAATGCATCGAGAATGATTACAGAGCGAGAAAATAATTTATTTAATAGATTTATATTTGAACGCTTGACTCGCTACTGCAAGGACTTTTCATCGATTGACTGGGAACGATCTTTATATTTTTGAAAGAATTTTCTTCCTCTTTTTTTTGGTTCTTCAATTTCAAACTACTTTTTTCAATTGATTACTTTGACTCAAGAGAGAGAGGGAGAGAGAGAGAGAGAGAGAGAGAGAGTCAAGGAAATAGCTTGGAGCAAAATCAAACGCTTACAAGCTCTTATGTAATTGTGGATGAAAATGACTTTTTTGAAATATCAATCATAGCTTTATGAATTGACTTAAAGGATATGTTTATCTGCTTATCATCTAAGATTCTTATGATAATTTTTGAACCTGCTTCCTGTTTTTATACTCTAACCTACTGATAATACAGAGTAAAGTTTGTGAGAAGTATGTAACATTCAGAAAGGCTCAAGGAAGGCCCAGCGTTTTTCTGAACCGATTTAAGCTTGTCTGTCCATCAGACTGCCTGATCTCTGTCCATGTACTCTTATGTTTGGACTATAGAGCACAACGTTTTAAAAATATTTGGATGCAGGGCGATCTCTATTAAAAATGATTCGAATTGTACTCAAGTAACATCTTATTCTGAAAAGTCGTTCTATGAAAAAATATTGCAATTTTTAAAATTCCTTCGCTGAGTAATAGCGCATTCAACATTTTAAATCGATCTGAAAGATTTGTCTAAGATGGATAAATCTTTTAAGGTTCCTGCCTATATCCCAACGATAATTGAATCTTTTTATGATAAAAAGGTTTAATTTTTTAACTTAAACAATCTATTTTTACAAAAATGGTACAGAAAAACAACATTTTTCGGTTCTTTTTTTGAGAAAAAAAAAGATAATAAGTATAAATGTTTCAGGCAAAATCGGATATGATTTTCTTATTTGTGATTCATGAGGTCCTTCATATCAGAACAGATCCGAAAAGTGTAATAGTATTGTCCCAGTTTGTCCAAAAATTTGGAAAGAGGAGAGCGAAGAGATTTGGGAAGACTGGATCAATTGGTAATCGTTTGGCCGGCCTTCAACACAAAGAACAGAAGCTATTCGTGAACAATCCCCTGCAGCGTATTTTCAGGAAACATTTGCGTCTTCACATAGCTTACGATATGCAATTTAATTAATATTCGAAGTCTAGTGATCAAGATTGATGATTAGAGCACTTTACACACCTTGGAGAAAATCGAGCTGTATTAAATCGCGGCATGGGAAGTATTAAGAAAAGCGTACTACGTATGTGTTAGCAATATCTTGAAGAGCATCTAAGAGCGATACGTTATTCCATAGATAACGTATACTCTATACTCTATATTTTACTATAATATATTTTTGTAGTCTATGCCACTTGTGGTACAGGGTATATTAAATCCTAAATTGGTGTGACAACATCGGATCAACTGGAGCAATTTTTTGAGCCGTCTCTTATATAGCGAAAAGTGAAGTGTCCTACGACAAAAGGGTCCAATTTTCAATGCTCTATGATGAACATTATATCATAATAGTAATTTAGGATAAAAATAATTAGCTGTCCAAGATTTGGATCGTCTCGGCCTATTTTTTAACTTCTATCCTTTACAAGGATTTTCACGAAAACTGATCCTTATAGGGTGGAAAAGTTTAAGTTTTAATACACTATAATATCACGGATCCATAATAGTAATTTGTGCTGAATTTTGAACACGTACCTCGCAGGCGCAGCCATTTTTACGGAAAGTAAGCCTTTATTTGAAAAGAGGTTTAATTTTTAATATACAATTCCATAATAGTAAGTTCATATAAAGACAATATAAGTATAATTTTTTGTTCTATGACAAAGATAAGACTTGTATTAGATAATGTGGCGTAGAGTGCCTAATAGAATGTTTTCATCTGTTTATTAAAAACCATGTGTTTTCCATCAAAATAATTTCTTGACAAAAATGTTGGCCGCCCGGATGATGATCGCAGCCTTGTGGACGTATGCCCGATCCATATGTGTTATATCTTTACATATTTAACGCTCAATATAGTTAGGACAACAGTGAACTCTCCCTGCGTGATTATTGTTATTATGGCTTATCAACGATTATATGGGAGATAATTGTGCCATAAGTCGTTTTGTTTTTGCCTACCTGTTACGTTCGGCTAATGCAGACATAAGCTGACGATATTAACATGTACATAAATACATTTCGTTTTAAGTGAACTTAAGTTAACTATAAGTCGTCCTTTCTCGCTTACATATATACGTAAATGGTGTAGTAGTTGTCTTCTTACGGGTATGCAAGTCTATCATGCCTTCTTCAAAGATCAAAAACTTTAGAATCATTTTTATAAACAAAATCTTATCGTTCATTACACTTGCGAGTAAAATGAATAAAAAGATTAAAGCAAATTTTCCAATTCGTCTTATATTCTCGTTTTTCACTTTGCAAGTGCAATGCTTTGCTATTAATAGCAAGAAAAGTTGGTGTAAAGAAGTTTGTATAAAACAAAAATAGGATATTTTTATATTGCTCAAGGATGTCAAACTAATATTCTTTTCCGACTTCCCCGACAAGCGATATTAAAAGTAAAGAATATTATAGTTGGGCAAGGCGGACTATTAAATACCCTTCATCACATTAGGTGACAGGCTTAGATCAATTCGGATTACGATTCTGTACCGATCGGTGTAATAAAAGAAGTGTTTATCTTCAGCTGCATAATATAATGTACCCTGTACCGCAAGTGGTATAGTTATTGGTTACAATAACTTCTTGTTATCAGATTTGGGCGTCACATAGGGACTCGTCGTAAATACGGAAACCCCACTTTCACATGGCTTTGTTTTTGGGGCAACCGGTGCCAGTTTGTAGCATATTTCCTTAAAGTATTTCGAAAATTTGATAGAAAATAAAAGTCATCATTGATTAGATTGTTTTAGTTTATTGATAATAATAATGATAATACAAATGAAGATTACATACGTAATTATAATATATTGGTGCAAAGCAATGCAATAAAAAAATTGCATTTAAGTCATTTTTTGTGAAGTGAATATTTAAGATTTTTTTTTAGAAATTCATTCAATGGCAAAAATAGCAGAATAGTGAATGCAATCAATAAAATCTTTTCGTTTTCTTTACTCCTTCGGCTATTTTCGGTTTCTCCGGTTTCTTTGTTGTGCCCGATTCTGGTATTTTGTTTTCATTGACGTTATTTTCTTCTCGTTTCTCTTCTTCATTTAACTTTTGATTTGGAACGCCTTCTTTGCCGTCGTTTGTTTGTTTATTTTCCTCCTGTACAGAATTATTTCCGTTACGAATATTCAAATCAGATTCTGCTAATTTATAGGGTAATTGTTTTGCGTATTCAGAATTTTGAACTGAAACATTTGTACAGCAAAATATAATGCCAAAATTTGAATAATCGAAAGAAGGACGAACACTCTTCAACCAATCAATTTCACCACAAATATCCGAACAAAATTTCACTTTACTAGAATTGAAAAACTTTAAAAATCGTAAAAATAATATAAGAGTGAATTAGAGAATAGAATATCGATAAGAAATTTGTATACCATAGCGTAGGGTGAATTATAAGCGAAGATATATAAATCTGGATTTTTACCATCACTCGATTCTAAATAAGTCCATATATACTGAGGTACTGTACTATTCACAAATCCATTCTGTTAAAAAAGAAAAGATATTTATTTTAAAAAAATAAACAAGAATGAACATTATAGACATTTAAATACCCTAAGCCACATTGCGTAACACAATATTTATTCTTATTATAGAATAGAAAAGTTGTATCTTGTTTGAGGAAGGCGGCCCAAAACACAGCCTAATGTGGTACAAGTTCAATTCTTAAATAGGGCAGTATCCAAAAATGGGCGTAAATGGTTTAATTTTGTTAGAGTTCATTTTCGTGTGAAATTACTATAATATCACGGATCACGGACCCTAGAAAAGATCAATTTTCATGAAAATCCTTATTAGGTTAGGATTCGACATAGACATGGTCCAAATTTGGCACAGTTCATTTTATTATTGTGATATAATTTTCATCGTGTGAACTGTAGTTTTCGTTATATAAGAGGGGGCTCCAAAATTGCCCCAGCCGTTCCGAGGTATTCATACCAATTGAGAATGCCCAAATACTTTTACTTAGCCACTTTTGTTGAGAAATTTTGAAAATTGCAATTTTTTTCCATATAACGACTTTTCAGAATAGAACGTTATATGGGAAGCGGACGAAAAAATGGACTTATCCAAACTATATATCGTCCTTGGGTTAAAACACATCAATGTAATTCAATTGAATGTAAATTTCATCAAAAGATCTCAAGAGTTGCGACCTGTCGCTAGAACGCAAATAAACATGGACAGACATCGGACGGACGGATAGACAAATTTGGATCAATTCAGATTATGATTCTGAATCCATTGGTATTACAAAACGTGGGTTATCTTAAGCCATTCTGCTTGTAACATATGTCCGCACTAATTTAATATACCTCAATGTACCACAGGTGATGTAGGCTAAAAAAATAAATTTTAAAATTGTTCAAAATGCATTCACCTTGATTTCCATGTACTCAAATTCGTTGGGATCTAACCATAAGGGTACTTGTACTACATTCAGTGTACCCATATATATGTCGTAACTATTATCAATTGTATGCTGCTGTAAAGCGTTCAAGAAGCGTTGCCAGTTGGTTAAACGTAAATTTGTCCACCAGAGAATATCTAATAGCTGATTATATTGATTGAAAGAATTTATAAATGGATCATCTTGAACAATATTTCCGTATTCGTAATGAGCCAAATTTAACCAAGGATTTCTCTCGTTTAACATTTTAAAGTAACTTTGCACAGCTTCATTTCTACATAAAGGAAAAAATATTAATTAATTTATTCAAATGCTAGATTGATATAACTTAAAGCTACTACTGGACTGATTTCTGAGACGTTTTTGCAAATACGTCCGCGTTCCATGAGAACTTCTTAGGCCTAAGTTGTTATCTCTACATATTTACTTTACATGTATTTTAAGCCAAGAAAGAAACGACGTGACATGGGAATATCACATTCGTATTACGCCAGCTGACATACTTCGAATATAATCAATTGACCGATTGGCAATGCCAATTCGATTTCGAACAGAGGCGAGAACGAAGAAGAAGATGGCACATCTACGATCTTCTAGTTTGAAACGTCGCCATAACAACATCAAAGGGACATTGAAGTCTCTGTAACCGTCCGTAATTTGCCTATAGAGAAGCGGATTAGGCGTGGTTTATATCATTCACCGTTTAAATTACCTGACGAAGAAAGGCGATAGGCCGAGGTATATAGAGTTTAATTATTTAATCTTTGTAACACAACTGAATATTTCAAGCCCTGGGACTAAACGATTAGTCATAATTCTGTAGGCAAGTTATTAATAAACGAAAATTCATGGAAAAAATGAGTGCGATTCGAACTATTTTTTTCGTCGTTAGGCCATAGCACGTCAGTGCAACAAATTCCATCAAAATATCTCACAAATAGCAACCAGTAGATCGAAGATAAGCGTAAAACACAGCTAGAGTAACAGACAAATTTGGATCGTTACATATATATGTCACATATATGCTTGCATTGGAAATGACGTAAAGATTTAAAAATACGGAACAAGTCGAAAAAAAGAACTTATCAGTGGTTTGGTGATTTCAAACATGATCGCACCCACGACGATGATCCATCCATATGAGATGGTTGCACCAGAAAATATCAAAAAAGTTTTAAATGATATTCTCGGTAATTGAAAAGTGAAGTTAGAAGTAGTAGCTAACAATACTAAAGATGTCAACTCGCATTGTGTTCATTGTTTTGCGTAAGAGTTATGGCTGTAAGCAATTGTTTCCGTAGTGGACCAAATGCCCCAGTCGAAAATTGCACGAACTGAAGTTCGGATGGAGGTAGCAATACGAAGAGCTCGTCCCCCGCGAGATTGGTTCCTACTTTAAGGATCGTGACAATGCCTTTTAAAGGAAAGGCATCGACACCCTAGAAAATGTTTAGACTTATGCATAAAAGGCGAATTCCCAAAAAAAAGATCTATTTTTTTATTTAGGGAATAAATGACCGATAACGTAACAATAAGGCCCCACATAGTCTTTAACAGATTTTTCTTAAGTACTTACCGACGCCTCACGTATGAAAACGTGCCATCATGCTTAGATTTGAAAGACCAGCGCTCATAAAGTAAGTACGAATTCTCGAATGTCGATGCACCAAGTTTTCAAACCTTGCTATAATCTAATAATTTCCCAAATTAATTAATGAAATCAAATCTACACTGAGCCAATAACAGACATAGGTTATATTAGTCGGTAAATGCGGAACGAATTATCCGTATCCGTAACGGTTAGAAAAGAGTTAGGAAGGAGTTACGAAGTGCCCGCATCGTAATGGATACGCGACCAATCGGTGAACTACTTGACTTTACCGACTATGCACTCACTATAGCTACAACTATGCTTTACCGCACTAAAATATAAAATCGCGACTTAGCAGGTCCAACTCGCAATTACTCGAAACAATTCAGACCGAAAGTTTTCAAATAATAAAATTCCCTATCATCTAATTTTCCTCGTCTCCAGAAGTCCAGAGAAGTTCATCGTTATCGTCTGTTTAATGTGAAAGCAAATGTATATATATTTTGACATACCCAGCATAAAGAATTGTGGTATTTAGAAATTTCACTTCGCTAGATGGTGTTGTCACTTCCGGCAAGTCAGTTATGACAACAGGCAACAACTGAAAAGAAAAAGTTTTAATTACAATATCGGGCTATAGCTTAATAATTCCTAATCTCGTATTTAACATAAAAACGTTGTAGTAAACCATGGTTCACCGTAAAATAGCCTCTAGCGTCACTACGCTTAATACAGTTATTCATATGACGACATTTTAGAATAGGGCGTTATATGAGAAGTGGTTAAAAGAATGGTCCGATTAGAACAATTTTCAAAGGCTTTCATCCTTGAGCGAAAGCATGTCAAATATAATCAAAATATCTCAAAAATTTACGACCTACTGACCGCGCATAAGAACTCGAGGCCGACAGATAGATCGACCCATCGCAAGATATCGATCGACCTAGAATCACTTTCTGAATCCGTTATATACGTCCGCACAAATTTAATATACGTGCTTGTGCGAAAGTGGTGTAATAAGTTGGAATATTGTGATCGGGCAAGGACGGCCAATAAATACGTTATATCAATTCGCCCAAGGTAATTTTTGTCCTAACTTCTTTACAAATTGTAAAAATTTTTCTTGTTCGCGGCACGTGGTATATTAAGTTTAAGCGCTTAAGGCAAACCCATCTTTTATTATACCGATCGATTCATAATCATAGTCTGAATTGATCTAAGCCTTTCTGCCCGTCTGTTCGTCTTATGTCTGTCCATGTAAATTTGTGTTGAGTTAATTTAATGATATTTGGTACAGTGACGTGTTTTGACACAAGGGCGAACGCTATCATTTGGAAGTCGTTGAAAAGTCGTTATATGGAAAATAATCACAATTTGTAAAATTTCTCGTCTATGTACCACAACCGACCTAAGATATGCAAATTTTGGTAAAAAAGAGCATTTTTTTTATTATATGGGTAGTAACTGAAAGCCATCAAGTATTAAGTAAGGCCTGCTTTTATCCTCTGTTGTATTTTACTTCAATGTTTGCGTTCTTTCACAAACACACAAATCTTGGATAAGTTTATGTAAAATATAATGAAGGGATAGAATAGAGATGAATCGCCGAAATGATGAGCAGCAATTTAATAAAATTAATGCTCTAAGCAATATTGCAGTGACATCACAAGTCATAAAGAATTTTTCTTTCATCAAAGCTTTTTCTTATGACTATTCCTTCAGAATATTAAAATTCACAAAAAAATCGAAATAACTTTTGCAAGAGTTTTGTTATTGTTTTCTTTACTGACTAGTACCGGACAACACAGCGCCAGAACACACCTCTAAAATATCTCATTTATATGTTTATGTAGGCTTTACTTCATATTTTTTTCCCATTTTTCTTTTTTTTTATAATATGAATATTGCGTATAATGTATCTTGTGCGGATGTATGCAACGCCTAGAAGGACTTAAGACTCGTCCCTTATTACACCGATCTAAATCATTTCTCAAAGGCTCTAAGTTTGTGAGTCGGTTTGTCTGTTCGTCTTGTACGTCTGTTTTCAACTTTCACAGACCTTCGGATTCGTCTCTTATTATACCAATCGATCCTAAATCAATTTCTCAGCAGATTTTAGTTTATCAGTCATTCTGTCTATCCGCCTTGTATGTATGTGTTCAACTCGAAAGAACTGACGATGCGGAATTTGTATCACATAGATCAATTTTTTAGATCTCATCTAGGGGGTTATCATAAAGAGCAAGCCCATATATACAGAGAGAAACCATAATTTCTAGTTTTTTATGATGGAGACTGAAAAATAATAAAATTTTTCGGAAGTAAAATAAGTTAGCCGTCTCTCTTGAAAAGTATGCCTTTTACGGTTGGAAGCCATGGCCCACTATAATTTGCTTGGCTTGTTTTGATATCAATTTTTCACTTACTTTCTTTTCATTCCATGATTCGGATTTGCGTTTAATACTTTTATACTTGATGGATTGTAATGAGAAACGGAAGCAAATTTTTGCTAAAAGACGATTTTGATCCAAATTGTTTGTTCGCAAATCGAATATTTGATGATCGGATTTACACCAAAACGTACGACTATCGTCATTTTGATTTGCTTCCACATTTATTGTCCATTCAATATCATCGCACGCTAACGGATGATCGCCAAGAATATCTGATTTATATTGCAATCCATTGCCTGCACAGACAAGCGTCATATTTCGTTCATTTAGGATGACATGTTTTGTATCTGTACGCGTGCGCAGCAATCGTGGACAATCACGATCATGTGGCTTACAGTGTACTGCGACCGAAACGTCATAAGCAATTTCCCTAAGAAAAAATATTTGATTGTATAAGAAATTCAGGTAAACTATAAACAAAAAACAAAATTATTTTTACTTAAATTTTGTAGCACAATAACCATTAACGACTTCGTCTTTTTGCAACTGTAAGTGATCGCTTACGTAAGGAATTTTAAACCAACTATCTCCGATTTTCTTTTCCCACAACGGAACATTTTCTTTATTCTCCGGTATTCGTAAGACGCAATCACCCCAAACTTTTGGCACAAAATAACAAATAATCGATAGAATTACAAACTTTATCATATTTTATTAATTTTTTTTTTTTATTTTTCTCGAATTAATTCTTCACTTGTAAGCTTTCTCTAAAAGACTGAATGAATTTTTTCATATCCCTTAGTGTCTTATATATAGTGGTCTGTGCCTTTGGAAATGCATCGAGAAATGGTAAAACATACAGAACAGATATAAGCACATTGCAGAGCGCAATTTACCACTTGTGAGACGGTATCGGAGGTATATTAATTTTGTGCGGCCGTATGTAACAAGCAGAAGAGTTTAAGGTAAACCCAAGTTTTATCACCCCCATCGATTTGGAATCATTTTCTACCTGTCTGTCCGACCATCTGTCCATTGGTACATTGACGTGCTTTGACCCAAGGAAGAACGCTATTGAAAATGATTCGGATCGGTTCATTTTTTCGACCACTCCCTCTTTTAAAGTCCTATTTTGAAACCACTTTATATGGAAAACACTTGCAATTTACAAAAATTCTTCGACAAAATTCGTTTTGTAATAGTAGTTGGACATTATAAATTGGTATGAAAAATTTGACTAGATTGGGATAATTTTTTCAACTCTCTCTCATATAATTATTCCTACGAAAACTGAGTCTTTTTATTGTAAAAAGGTATAATTTTTAATATTTCATAATGAAAATTAGTTCATATTAGTAAATTGATATAGAAATCAATCTTACCGAATTTGGATTATATAGGTCTATTTGTTTGACAGCTTGGGCCTTCATGAAACGTACGCCTTTGCATGAAAATAATGTGTAACTTTTGGGGCACTATTACCGAAAGGACTGAATAACTATATGAGGCAAAGCAGTGTAGGGTATCTAAGATTAAAATGTACACACTTGTTTGATTTGATAAATAGATAGTGGTCTTTACAAATGTGAAAGCAATCACAAATGGTTTTCAAAAGTTACAAATTGAAACATTGGGAGCTTCTGACGGAGTATGTTCGCAATGAGTAATAACGTAGTACACTTATAAAAATTCATCATTATTCATAGAATTATTATTTGATATGTTACTTGCGTTACGTTACGAGTGTGAAATTTGCGTAGCCGGGTTAATGACCATAGATTAAGCTTTGTTGGCATGTGTTTGCATATTTTAAGGTACACGTTGACCCGACTTCTGCATTTCCTCCAGATGGCTATCTTCGTGAAGACATTTAAGCTTTTTCATCAGATTTTTGAACATCACTCCCCTAGCGGGATTATTCAAACAGGGTTAACATGGTACATCCTTCGATCGACAGCTCCGTACTTGCTCATTTCATTACTATTGATATATAGGTTTCTGATTAGGGAGACATCCATGATGTAAATTTGCTTGTTATTGTTGTCAAATGAAGCGATGCCAGGTGGATTAATCAGTTCTAAGTTGTCTATCCCAATAGAAAATGAAACCATTGTTGCCCAACACGCTGTGGATATTTGTCGGTTCTATGATATAGTTGAGGACAATATTGGATAGCCACGTATCACATATTCAATTGTCTTCCCAGTGACTTTACACTTCCGACATTTATCTGCCCCCCCGGCCTCATGAAATATATATTCCCTATAATTTCACGTTGCTATTTCACTGTCATGAATAGCTCGCGGTTCCCATAAGTAGATGGTACCAGCCATAAACTCGAATAATGGACATTTATTTTCTCACTAACCATTTCGTTATGACATCTACCATTTAGTTCCTTTCTCTTCAGTTTTAACGCTGATGAGACGTCATATTCGCTACATGTCCGGAAATATTTTCGAAACTTTTTCATTTAATCTCAATGGTCAAAAATTGAAATAAAAATTCTTTTAGGAAACCATTGGAATGAATCGAACACAGCTTTTGATCTTTACAATTGGTATGTAAATCGCTATATCTTGATCTTTAATTCATAGTTAAAGCAGAGAGAAAAAACCTTATTTTTCTATATAATTTTTCTAACTGTATATAACACTGGTAAACAGACAATTAGAATCGTCATCCGATTGTTTGCTATGAATCAGATAGATTTTACTACAACTGTTTTTAAATATGTACAGCATATCCAAAGTGCCATTGAAGTGTGTCCAAAGTCATTTAGGTTAGTTAAGTTAAGTCTATACCTAAGTTAAATTGAAGAAGAGCTATGAAAATTAAAAGTTTAAAAGAGATGGAACCAAGGTCAACCGTAAGATATCCTACACTACTTCCCTTAGTGCACTTGTTCACTTGTTTTGGTTATAAGACATCGAAAATTACACATTATCGCCATGCAAAGGTATACTTTCATCGAAGCACGCCTGTTGGAAGATGCCAAAAACGTCACCTTACTTGATTCAATTTGAGCAAACTTAATTTACTTTGCAAAAACTTAGATAATTTTTAGTTCCCGTCATAGACAACTGGCAATTAGACCTTCTTTGCTTGCTTTTCATCATAACCTCTTTAAATATTTGGGACTAAAAAAATGGACCTAGGTGATCCAAATTCCCTGTCGTTAATTGTTTTGTTTTGCTAGACTGCTACTATGAACTAATTTTCCTCATAATATATTACAAATTAGAACATTTTCTAAGGGACATAGTATTCAAAAGAAACCTTATATTGAATTGGATGCAAGAAATAGATCAATGTAGCCCACCTAACTTTGATGCCAAATATTTATCATAAAACATTAACAATTAGGCCTTAAGGGTTTACATTTCCTGAGGATCCTTAAATGCGGTGGCGTCCATACAGATAGACCGACATTCCGTAAGGTTCACATCTTTGGCAATTCACTGTTGTGAACCAATGTTCACCATGAAATATTGAGATTTAGACCTATGAAGAACGAGTTTGAGTATGAAGAATTAGTTTTTTTACGAACGGTGGTATCAGCGGCGGTTCGAAATTGCTTGAATTGCAAATTTGCTCTAGCCGAACCATTTTCATACCAATTTAGAACATCGAAGTACGATTACTAAGCGACTTTTATCGAAAAATTGTAGAAATTTCAACTGTTTTCCTTATAACAACTTTTCAAAATAAGGCGTTATATGGGAAGAGGTTTACAATGTGTATGGATTTGCACCATTTTCAAGGGCATGTCAATGCACCAAAATTTCATCAATATATTTCAAAAATTGCGAGCTGTTGCTGTACGCAAAAATGCTTGGAAAGTGAACAAACGGACAGACCAGTTTAGATCAATGCGAGAAACAGTTAAATCGGCTCTTCCACTAATCAGAGAAAAACCAAACAATTTGGTCCTTATTATACACATCACCGACATATCAGAGATATATTCACTTTCTCAAAACGTTTGCAACTCCCAGAAGGAAATTTCAGTACTGAAACGGACCAACGGGTCGAAGCACTCGCTTACAGTACCATATAAAATGAGGACACCTCTTTTCTTGAAAATGAATAAAAATTGATTTTTGGCTCATTACCCAAGAGTTACAGTAGATAAATCCACAAACATTTGAACACCGCGCCTACCACAATGTGTCAAAATTTAGCCTTTTTTTTAATACTTATATAATGGGCAGAAGTCAGTTTCAAACAGCACCATAAATTATATAAATTCTTGACCGGTTTCAAATTCAGGATGCACCAAAACATGTCCGTCTGTTCGTCTGCCCATCTGTCCGTCTGCATATTGTGTAGTATCGGTGGTAAAGATTCTCTCGTTCGCAAAAAATTTGCTAAAGAAAGTGAAAATATCTTAAATCGGTCAAACGACAGGCCTACATTGCCCACATGCATATCCGATAAAAACTGTGATCACTTTTGGTTTCTGCGTTTGTTGCTTCTTATTCATAAAATATAGCACATAGATTGTGCAAATTTCCACTTTTATTCTAAAAATAGAAAATATCAACCGCGCCCACCCAATATATAATAGAGCATAACAATTTAGTTCTTCAGTTTTTTGTAGTCTATTCTTTGGGTAAAGGTGATGGGTATAAAGGATTCGGTCACGTCCGAATATAATCTTCTAAGTTATGTCTTGTAAGGACTTGTCAAATTGAGGAATTGTATAGGGAATGCTCGAAAAAAGGGTCTGATCGGAATCATGGTCAATTACGTTCGTCTTTGGGTCAAAGCATGTCACTGTCCCAAATTTACTGCAAAGTCAGTCGAGTCAAGAGAGTTGAATCGTAATAGTCCAACGGGTCGGACCAGAACAATCCGTGTACATATAAGTTCCAGTAAATAATTTATAATTAGATCTCCTAAGAATTGTGAATAAAACCTATGCTATGCCCAAAAATCACAATTCAGCGGTACGAAGTCAATCTCAAAAGAAGTCGAATATAAACGTAAGACGTCACGGACGGCATTTCGTCAATATAAATATCTAATCTGTGGGATCTTGCTGCTCTTCCTGATATTTTTTAGGTCCTTAGACGCTTTCTACCTATTCTATGGTTCGTAGTCTACCTACTATTTTCTAGATACATGTTATTCATATGCATATTTATCTGGAAATTCTAGGCAGTTGGCTGACGGATGCCGAATAAAATGTAGTGACAAAATCATAAGCACCAAACTTTTCCAACATTAAGCGTTCATATGATGTCTAGGGATATAATTAGTGGTCCCGATACACAAGTGGCCTTAGATGCCCCCCCGCCCCTTGCCACCTTTCACCCCTTTTGCAGAAAGTGTAAATGTAAAATTATTTTTATTTTTTTTTTGTTAAATACACGAAATTAACGTTTATTTGCAGTTAAAAGTTACATAATAATATCGTTTAAGACGCTATCACTAGTGTTAGACAAAGCATCATCGTCACAATCATATTTGAAGTCATGCTCAAAGACATTAAAAATCCGTTGATCCTTATTCGGTGCAAATGTCTCGCCAATGGCTTCATCTATATCGTCAGATTTTTTATCGAATCTCTTTAACTCATTATTCACTTCATCATTGAGTTTTAAAGACTGGTCAATATTTAAAGTTACCAAGGGATTCAAAAGTCCCGATGGACTCATACTTAAATTATTGAAATTCGCCGATTCATTTGGTAACTCTTCTATAGTGGGTAATTTTTTAAAGTGCATCAGAGATCTGATGTCGTTCTTATTCATATTGCGAATGCGATTGTTTGTCTTTGCATTGAATAGCGTAGGTGATAAAGCAGCGACTGGCTGAGTAGTATTTTCGAATTCAGATGAGCAACTTTTCGGATCTGGTAAACTTTCCATTTCTTTAGTTAACATATTTATGCCACGGTTATAATTTTCCTTTTCCTCATTAGGCAACGGTGTCCATTTAAGTTTCAACGGTGACGAGGTTTCAAATTTCGAAACATTTCCGGATTTTTGTAGTGTTTTTAATAATTTACTAGGATCAATAAGTTTACATTCTTTTAAAATTGGTCCTTGGTCCAGTTTTGATACATCGTAATCACATTGGTCATCGGCATCGAAGAGAGAGATACGTGGCATAGCATAAGTGTTACTTGCATCAATTTTTATAGAAGGTGTTCTTATTAAATTCATTTGCGTATTGTTTTTCTCATTTTCAGAATTGGAAATTGGAGTACTATGGGGAAATATCTGTTTGCTGGCGCTTATCATCTTTCGAAAGTCGGTAAGTTCTGCATCCCTTTGTAATAATTCATTTTGCAAATCATTCAATTTATCTATTAGCCATTTTGGTGGGCATAAGGCTTGCTGGTCATAAGATAATTGCGCCTGAATACGATCATGTAAGCCATTATATATGGATATCAAACTATTTATGCCCATTTCGTCCTTCGGAAATTTCATGATTGACAGATCTTCGGGTAATTGTTGAAAATGTTGATAAAGAGATTCTATATCACTCTTATTGGTTACTTCTTTCGAATGGAAGTCATCGAGAATTCGCTTTGCTTCTACAATATTTTCTTCCATTTTCAAGACTTGATAACGTTTAATGCCGTATTGAGATGAATGCAAAGTCTGAACATGTGATTCGAATTTTTCCAAAAAAACATCACTTAATAACATCTCAACACTGCATCCTGTTTCTGCCGCCAATAGATTTAATTGTTCACGAATAAGATTCGTTTTATCAATGATTGAATGTTGATTGACTTTACTCATAGTCTCTAAATATGCTGATGCGTATTCTTTAAACAAAGCATCTTTCTTAATAAGACTTCTTATATCTGCATTGGATACTTCATGCTTTTTTTCAAAATTATCGCCCAAATATTTTTCTCTTTGTTTTATCAATTCTTGTATAATGAAATTCACAAAATCCATCATGAATGTAATAAATTTCATTCCACCGGGCTTAACGCCTAAATACGCATTAATTGTTTTCAAATTTAACTTGTATTTCTCATTAAGAAATTTTATATAGATGATTGCATTTGCGCGAAAATCGATTTCCGATCTTTTATCATTGATTGGCCAAAAGAAACGTTTCTTAAATTCCACAGGATCGAAGATACGAAATAAATATGATATGACTTCAAGAAATGCATTTTGATTGACTGTAATGAACATTACATTGGATAAACATTTTCGCATTCCTTCCTCCGGCGGATATAGTTTGGTTAGACCCAATAATTTCTGATACAGTTTCGCACTCAATTCTCTTTCTACTGCTGCGTAAGGATTAATTGTCAAGCGACGCATTTTATATATTTTTGAAAAAATCGAATGAAAATCTTACGAATCAATAAATAGCTAAAAACTGTTACTGAAAAATCTATCCGTCAGAAATTTTATGTCGCGACAGCAAAAATTTTCAAAGATGAAAGTTGCCAGAAAGATGAACTTGTAAAAAGTACTTGCACAGAAGAAATTAAGGCGTTAGCAGAAGTGAAAAATTTTGCTGTAAATACTGCCTGAAAGGTAGCTTCAATGTTATTTAATCCATAGAAGCTTTTCCGTCACTTCGTCGACCTCTTGCTGCAAGATAAACAAGTAAGAAAATTACATTCGGTCGTGAACGAATCTTTTATAGCCATCGCCCTTTTCCTAGCAAAGACAAAAAAGGCAAAAGAGTTTTTTTCACATAGGCGTGTGGGCGTTGTAAGCGTTTCCTGGAAAAGCTCTTTCCATTTTCGCTAACGGAGGAACGTTTACCACAATTATCACGCAGTCACGCAAATAGACATATGGAAAGACGAACAGACGGGGTTTTGTAACACCCATAACGATCGGAATCATTTTTTGAATCAATTTCAACTTGTCTGTCCGTCCAGTTGCGCAAGCAGACAGATGGACAAACGAACGGACGGACATGTTTAGGTGCATTCAGAATACTTTATGGAGTTTTTGAAACTTGTTTCTGCGCCTTATAAAAGTATTGAAAAAAAGAAAGTCAATTTTGATGCACTATAATATGGGGTAGGCGTTGCCTATTTTTGCGCACAAATGCTACACCATCGGCCGTAGAATATGCCTCCAAATTTCTATATATTTATTTGATGTAGTTTATGAGTAATGAATAAACAACGAATTTTCTATTATTTTTGGAAAATAGAGATGTTCTGAGCTTACGTGGGATTATGGGTACCGGAATGGCTTAAAATAGATCCAGCTGTTCAGTTAATTTTTATGCCACATTGTTAATATGAACGAATATTCATCAAGAAGTATTGAAAATTGAGCCGTTTTTGGTGTATAATGGTTCAGTATCTGTAGGAACATAGCAAGGAGTTCAAAAAAATGGACCACTCAATCCAAGGTTTTCAGTGTAATTCAGAATTATTTAGCGAAATTTCAAAACTTACAATATACTTTCTTATAATGATTTATCAAATATGGCGAGCGCTCGAAAATCTGTTTCAATTGGAACCATTTTCAATAGCTTTCGTCCTCAGGTCATAGCATGTCCATGTAGAAAATTTCGTCAAAATATTTCAAAACTTGCGACTGAACACGAGAATACATGGGCATACATTCCACAGACAGATGGAAAGACAAGCTTTAATCGAATCAACGAATTATTCTAAATCGATGGGTATAATAATGAAAGGTGGGTTGATCTCAAGTTCCTTTGGATGTTACATAAGTCCACACGAACTTGATATTCCCCATAACACAAATGGCGTAGTGTTTAAAAAAAACGAGAAATATTTGTACAGGATTGTTAATTGTTTGTATATACACTCGACAGCAAAAAAATTGTACGCCCCCTACATTTTCACTTAGAACCTAAATAATTATTAAATCAACGTTTAGGTTGTAAATATAACTAAAATCTACCTAAAACACATATTGTTGGCTTTTACAAAATACATCATGCTTACCCTTGGACCTTCAAAACCGTTACAGTAGCATATGAAGACAATAGAGATATTTAAAATCGGTCGTTTCAGGTAGCGCCGTTCCCGCGATTTTAAGCCGTCTTGCAATCTGACAGATTCTTTATCGAATACCAAGCTATTCAGCAAAAGAAAGCGGATAACATACCGGAAGCTACGTCTCAAGTAGTTACGCTAATTCAAGCTGGAAAGAACCAAAGCCAAGTGACACGAGAGTTAAATTTAGGCCGATACGTTGTTCGACGTGCATAGCAGCGATATCAAGAGCTCGGTGGCTGTACTCGGCGATGAGGAGATATCCGAAAACGTGTTGCAGCACAGCGTGATGACCGTTTAGTTCACAACGATATCGTTGGATGAATGCAGTTTAAATTGGCCATTTTGCGAGTAACACCTCCACAAAGTTAGAGGAGTGGGAGTCAGTCGGTGGATGGTGACAAGAAAACTAGTCCAAGGAGTTCTTACAGCGCGTATACTAGCAACTGACCCGAAATTCAGCCCGGCCGGCCAAAAAGTTCGCCCTAGACCATGTGAATTGGAATACGGACCAGTGGAAGGTAGTACTGTTCTCTGATGAGTGCACGATGTACCTTCATTGTTACGACGTGCGACGAAGGGTCTACCGAAGATCCATTGAACGTTTTGCACAATGCTGCATCTCGTAACGTGCCCTATATGACGATGGTTCGTGTCTGTTCTGGGGAAGCATGTCGCTGGAAGAAAAATGAGGAGTTGTGTTTGTCAAGCGGGTTGACTTCTCGACGCCATATCGAAGAAATCTTGCAAGAGCATTTAGTGCTTTTTTCGGGATTTACCAGCAAAAATCTCATTTTCATGCCCGCCAACAGAAGACCACTTATCGCTCTTGTAAGATACCAATACTTGGAGGAGATTGATGTGCCGGTTACGGCGTGGCCTAGATTTCAATCCCTTTCAGCGCCTATGGGATGAGCTGAAATCATGAGTACGAGCGAGAAATATGGCACCTACGAGTCTCAAAGAGCTTCGAACCAGGCATTAAGGAAGAATGGATTTTGTAAAAAAAAACTTGAATATTTAATGAAAAATCGGATGGAAGTTGTTATTCAGGCTAAGAGGAGGTAACACCTCGCATTAATAGATATTGTTTTTTCCATTCCATCTTTTGATATTTGCTCGAAAACGCAGAAACAGCGTTAGGTGAAACGAGCGATTCCGGGTAAATCTATTATTTTATTGCTACTGTTATGATTTTGAAGGTCAAGGATAAGCATAATGGGTTTTTCAAAAGCTAACAGAGCGTACTTTTTCCCAACTCTTATTTGCTTAAGCGAACCCTGAGTTAAATTTTTATTAACTTTCGGATTGTAGTGACAGTGACATTTTATGTTCTTGTATGGCCATTAGTTTTCTAACGAAAAACATTTTATCGTTTATTTTCATTTCAATTATTTGCATATCGACTGAAAAAAGCCACACGTTAATAGCAGCTTGCATTTTTCATTCGTGTTTTATGCCATTGTAAAGGAAAAAATCGAAATATAAAGTGAGAACAGAAACTTTACTCTTGACATCGAGGACACTTATGGCATATATTTATAATTCATGAGCAATTCATGGATTGTGATTGCAAAGTGCACGTCTATGGTATATGCCTGGGCTATCTACCTGTTTGTCAATAAAACAATTCTGGAAATGGAAAGCAATGAATTTCAAAACAAGATCAACAATTGAAAATAAGAAGAACAAAAGAATTAATTTTGTTTAGAAGATGACGAATACTTTTTTTTTTTGTGTTTTAAACATAACTTCGCGATCCAAATTGTTTTGGTTTGCGGGTTTTTTTTTTTTTTTTTCATTTCCAACCAATTACACAATAAGTAAACGAAAAACCGCAAAACGCATATAAAACACTTGAACAATTTCGAAATTTCTCGACGTTTCCTATTGAGTGTTATGGCTAGACAGGACACTAAGCATTTCATGCTTACACGGCAATGTAAGAAGATTTTTTAATTTAAAATGAATTTTTTCCAGTGAAATAAATTTTTATTATCAGATAATTTAACAATAGTTACACTTATTTAAACTCTTTCCTCCATATTTCCACGTCATTCCAAATGTAGTTTGTTCTTATTTTTTTTGCCATATATATGACGGGATTGATAAAACCCAGCTAAATGCTGCGAGGTTTTTGCTTTCTATAGAATAATTTAGTTTTTCTGCAGAATTACAACTTAGTTGCTTTCCCAGTATACATTGCCCCATCACCCAACTGAAGAGTATATTCATTTTGTCGAAACATTTGCAACGTCCAGAAGGAACGGTTAGAGAAACTACAAAATATATAATTTCTTGGTCAGCATCAAATCCTAATCCGACTTAACTATGCCCATTTGCTGGTTTGTGTGTCTGTCCGTCTGTGTTATGTCATTCTTCTGCTCGCAAAAATGAAGCTATCGACTTCAAATTTGGCAAAAGTGGTAAAAGTTGGAAGCTCTTGCGTCCAGGTTGGTATTGAAAATTGGCCAAATCGGCTGAAGGATACGCCCGCAGCGCCTCGTAAACTACGAGTACCTCTGTTTTTTAAAAGGAATAAAAAATGTCCTTTCAATTATTATTCATAAACTTCAACCGATACATGTATGAAAATTTATATTCTAAATAAATTCTTTGGTCGATACTGCTGTACTTATACAGAAATGGGAAAAATTGACTGCGCCTATCCAATATTATAGTGTGTCAAAATTTAATTTTTTTCACTATCATTATAAGCCCCATAAAGAATATAAATTCTTGATTAGAATCGAATATGGAAATCTAAACATGTTCGTCTGATTGTCTATCCATCTGTTTGCCTATCCAACTGTGTATGCATTCTCTCGTTAGCGAAAATGAAGATATCATCTTCACTTTTGCAAAGGATTTTGAAAGCGACCGAAACTTTTCCAAGGACACGCCTACAAAGCCCCCAATCTTCTGCGACAAAAACTTTTATTTTGAAAATTGAAACAATTAACCGCGCCCACTCACTATTATGGAGCATGAAAATTTCGTTTTTTTACGTTTATTGTCTTGGGTGATGGGTATAAAAGATTCGGTCGCTGCCGAACATAATTTTCTTACTTGTTTTTTCTTCCATTTCTCTCGATGATTCTTTAATTCGTTGTATGCTGTTGCATATTTATAAGTACGCGAACAGAAATCTGATTTGGTGTGAGCTACCATTGGCAATTTTTGCTGCATATATATAACATGTTACTACTGCTATATCATTATATATTGAGTGTACATAGTATCCGGAATTTATAATTTTGCAAGCTCACTTGGCACCTACCAAGACCAATTTTATAACTAACATTAGAGAAATAGTAAGCAAACGGT